GATGAATAAGGCAGTTATTGGTAGCTTACGTGCCCAGTAACGGTATTATCCTTCTGGCCATGACGATCTGCATGAAACTTTTTTTACTATAAATATAAACTTTGCATTTCGTAGAACTCTTTTGATTATCTCATTTAATTTAAACATGCCTAAGGTTGCGAAATATAAAGTAATATTTTTTAAATTAATTTAAATTTAAAAAAATATATATTATATTAAAAAAAAAAATACACTTATATATCTAGCATACGAATTCTTCTCAAGAAAGTTACTTACCATCAACTGAAGAATTAGATCAAATTACTAACTCACGGGTTCCAGCTAATACTACAAAATCTATTGAGAAATGGGTTAATGTACTTAGAAATTGGCGTAAAAAAGTTGGCTACAATTACGACATTGAAACAATAACTGACAAGGCACAACTTGAACGAGAAATGCAAGAATTTATAGTTGGTGTACGGCAACTTAAAAGTGGGAAAGAATATTCACCTTCTTCTCTGAAAAATGCATTAATCCTATTAAGTCAATGGATCTATAATGCACAAGCTGGCCCTACTAAATTTAAATTATCACACAAAGACGATTTTAGAAATTTGTGGAATACACTAGATGGCAAAATGAAACAGTTAAAACGAAATGGAATTATTCCACAACATCATGATCCGTTAACTGAGGAAGAGATTACTCTTATATTTAACCATCCGAAAGTATCAGCATCGCATGCTCAAGGGTTACAATATCGAGTATTTATGTGGATGTGTATGCTTTGTGCACCACGGGGTGGTGAGCACGGCCAAATGAAAGTTTCTCAATTTAAATTTCTTCCTGATGGTGGAATTATTTTTACAAAGTGGTCTCAGAAAAATGATCAAGGAGGGTTAGATGATAATGGTAATGCAACTAGTATTCCAATTCCACCAGATCCTCTTGGAAAATATGGACCCGTTCATGATATTCGTCTTTACTTTTCTAAACGACCTGATAATTGTACTTCGCCAAATTTGCATCTTCAATTAGCAAAAAATCCAATTGGTAATTAATAAAACACTGTCAAGAAAAAACCTGTTATTCCGATTTCCAAAAATTAAATAATTGTTAATTATCATTATTATATGTATATCAATATACTAAAATTTTAGGAGATATCTGGTACAAAGATAAAAGACTTGGTGATCATTCGATTAATACTATGCTAAGGCAGATTTGCGAATCCTGTGAAATTAATATTGAAAGCCGAAATATAGTCAATCATTCAGGTCGTACTACTTCAATTACACATTTATATCAACTCGGAACACCTAATTCAACTTTAATGTCAATTACTGGGCATAAAAGTGAAAGCTCTGTTAGAATTTATTCGCACCCTTCTGAACAGCAAAAAAAAGATTGTTTATCTGCAATAATTAATTCTAGCATTAATAATGTTGAGGTAATATATTTAAATTCTGATGATTTTAATTAATGTTAATATGATTTATTATTGTTATTTAAATACTTGTTTTTTAGACCAGCCCAAATGTACAAACAATTGAACCGAATAATCAAGATAATGAAGATCTGGTAATCTATTTTTTATTATTATTGTTATTATTATATAAAATACTAACCAAATACTTGTTCTTAGACCGAACCAAACATACATACTATTGAACTAAGTGATCAAAATGTTAAAGAATCGGTAATGCAAATTTTTCTTTTCGATTATATAAACATTTAAAGTATTAATTTTTCTTAAATATACTTTTTTTTAGACGAATCTTGATTTTCAAACCCGTACACCGTTATCAGCTATTCAAACCAGCACTGTTAATCAAACCCGCCCTGGTATTTATGGTCCAGGAAACCTTCATCCTAATGCATTCAAAAAAAATCCAACACTTGGGGGCCGTCGACTCTTGAAAAAAAAAAAGGAAAATTCGCAAAATTCGCAAATTATTAATAATTATTACATTACGGATAGTACTGTAATATTTAAATAAATTATATTGAATAATACATATGTAATCGGTATTACAGTATAAGGCATATAAATTTGTTTAATAAAGTTTAAATTCCGATACGTATTATTGGAATTTTTAAGTAAAAAATAATTATATTATTGACCGGTGCAGATCATAATGGCCTGAAGGATAA